CTTCTCGATTAATAGATTACACCATGCTTAAATAGACTCCTAAGTTATTATTTCATATGAGACATATGTAAGAAAAGGGAGGGAAGAGTCAATTATATTGAGTAATTGATTTTATATTGGAACATTTATTTCTCAAACCTGTTTTATGGAAGAGGAAAATATTTCTGATAAAGTAATCTTTTATCAAACGGTAAATGGTGAATTAATATAACATTTAGAATCATTGAGAAGGGGTGATATCCGCAGGGACTAGCTCACCTTTAAATTACAATAACATTTCTCTACTTTGGACTGATGAGTTTATGATTCTTGCATGTTAAATGACTAACACAAACCTTACATTTATGCATGTGCATGTCTCAGGAAGGCTCCCAAATAATTCTGAGGGGCCTATCCTATTTTTGTATTTAAATGATAATGTGCTAATCCATTACCTTGAGTTGTCTGCACTCAGGAAAACATCCCTATCAAGTGTTAACCCAATAACTACAGTAGGACAGCTCTGAAGGCCAAGGGTCAGAGAGAGAGCTACGTGGGTCCACGCCAGCCACTGCAAGGTCCTAGTCACCAACAAAAGTAGATGACAACAAGTGATGTGTCCTAATCACCAACAGAAGTAGATGACAACAAGTGATGTGTCCTAGTCACCAACAGAAGTAGATGACAACAAGTGATGTGTCCTAATCACCAACTTGCACCACACTTGCACTACATACACCAAAACACACTACACACAAGGTGTCACAAGCAAGTGTCAGCTGAGCGGTTCCATATGCTCTCTGGTTCCTCGTTTGTGTTACCGGTGTGCGGAGTCTGACTGTCCGTGTCACAAAATCGACCGAAGGAATACACACACACACCCCATGGAGCATTCCCACCTCGTGATGACGGCTCGCCTGGGACAATGCAACCGTGAGCAATACAACTGGCCTGGCCCAGTGATGTGGGGTTTAGCTCGCCACAAGATTACGTTTGGTTGTGCGGCGACAAGCTCTATCAAGTTCTGGCTCCCCTCTGGATAGGTACATGCACTCTAGTGGATTTGAATCCAGCAATCAGGCTTAACAACACTACTCTTTAATGTAACATTATCCATGCATAGAAAGATGTTTCAAGTACTGGATTAATTTCAGTTTTGGCCCAAAACAAATATTTATAATATTTCATATAACAATTATGTAGCATATTTGATCCTCAAATTAGAGAAGTATAATTTAAAGAAATTGATATTCTCAACATTAGATAAACACAGAAGAATCCTTTCCAAGTACCATAAGTAGCTCAGGTAAGTATGGCTAATAGGAATACTTGATAGACTTAATTTGGTACAGATCAGTGGTAGCATTTACAAATGTAATAATCCAAGGTTTAAAAATGTTTAATCCTTCCTTTCCAGGTTTTTACAAACGTCTTTGAATATTTGCCTAACTTTTCCTTTTCAGATTTTGAACAATGTACTTGACTAAAATGAATGTATTGATTCCACTAAGTGCCTTACTCTTGACTAAAGCGTATTTAAGTAAACAGTAAAAGTAATCCTAAAATTGAGGACACTGCACTTTTGCAGATTACAGATTGATCAAATCACCAGTGTGAATTATATACTCTGACTGTGAATGTTTATCTGGATCTCTTACGATCCTGAGTTTTAAAATGCTTTTGACTAGTGATTGCCTTGAAGTAAATCTTTAAAGCGGCAAGCTGGTTTTGATTTTATAGTTTGATGAATGAAATTAACTAATGGTAAATGATCAAATATATTAGTTTAAAAACAAATATTTAGCCATTGTGCACCTGTGTTTTATGTGTGTTCATTATTATGCTTTTGACAAAAGATGATCAAACACTGATGAGAGATGATTTTTTCTATTATGATTGGCTGTATCAATCATTGTGATTGAATGTTTCAATCTTATTCTACTTTGTGATGTAATTAATGTAAGGTGAGACCACACTCGAATCTGGAGACGCCTATTGAGTTAATTATTGACCAAATTATTATTAGACTAATGTTTTTAGGTTATCATAAATGATAAAAAGAGAGGACTGTTGTGGAAATAATTATCATAAGACGCCAATTAGTAACATACAGGACAAACCTTGATGTCTGTTTACCTTCTTTAAGGACACAGGCGGCTTAGCCAATAATGTTATTGTTCCCATTCTGTGACCGGTCAATACTGGGATACAGATGGTCTGTGTTGTGGGTACACTGGGACACTTCCTTCTCTGTATTTGTGGACTCCAAGGTAAAATCTTCGAGGTCATAAGTGTCCGAGGCAAGTAGCTCTGTGTTCCCACACTGTTTAGGCTATCTCCTCAAATATGTTGTTTACTCTCTGCGAAACCAGTTAGATGGGCTGGCAAGAGAGAGGCTCTCCAGAATTGACGTGGCAACTCTACCGTGAAGTCAGAACCTCTGACTCTTGGACTTGTGATGTGAATCCTCCGGCCGTTAACTCCAAATAAACCATCATGTGTTTGACATCAAAGCTACTGCTCTTCCCGTGTCTCCTTCCTGAGTCGGTGACTCCCACTGCATAGCTACACAGAAGTTTCCATTACACTACGCTGTGCATATCGCTGCAATGTTTGCGAAGCTTTGGTCCGTGAAATGCCGCGCACACAGTACAATACCTACTCGAACATCTGAAGGAACAGTGTTAACAAGAAATGTCAACCACTGACTTCGTCGTGGTTCTGCCCTCGGTAAGGCATACATTGAAGATTTCCCCTCACAAGACAGGACCCTCGTTGGCATGACTGGATACAGTTTTGAACTGAACCTGAGCTTCCAACAGTATATATATTCGGCTGGCAGAGGGTGCGTGCGGCCATAGCCCTGGGCGTGGCTACTGGGTATCCCTACGTCACGATACCCAGGAAGTAAACAATGGAAAATGAGAAATCTCCAACGACGCGTTCTGGGGCAGCATAAACAGGTATTTTCTGTGTTAGAGTTTTACTCCCTACAGGGTGTACTTTGAGGGTTTTTCACTCTGCAGACCGTTTACAGCAGGGGTGGGGAACCTTTTTCCTCTCAAGGGCCATTTCAATTTTTCCAACATCCTCCGAGGGCCGTACAAATGATTGACCTCTGCTTAAAAATACTAAAATCACAGCCCATTAATTTCGCCTTTCTTTCATGCTGTGCAAAGAAAAAGCAACCCCTTAATCCAGATATTTCACCATGACTCGCATATGCATGCACGTGCACGGTTGTGGCATGACCACCAAAACAGAAAGATGTGGACACAAGATGTGTGCAAATTTATTTAGTTTCCTATCCATGTGGACATGATTTAAGTGAGGGGGGACCTAACCTCCTCTAGGGGGGTCCAGGGGGCATGCTCCCCCGGGAAGATTATTTTTTAAATGTTGAAGTTGAAAGCATCAATCTGGTGCACTTTGAGAGCAAAATTAGGAGATCTATGGACACATCTCTCAACACCCATATGAAACAGAACTGTAAGCAGATTTATTTTTCTTTATGGATATTTTACAAATCACTCCCCTTTCAAACTGTATTCTTGTTTATTAATAACAACTTTTTTTTATACCTGTTTACTTTTTTCTCTTATTTTTTTATAACTATAATGATCATATAAAGATGTACCTTTACCTCACTGATTGGAGAAAAAGCTTCTTATATTCGTTAGCATAGCTAGCTAACCAGATGCTAATAACAACAAAGTTATTGACTGTCTGTATGATCAGTATGTCAGATGAACAGATCGCCACTGGGCTTACAACTAAAACACAGCCATGCAAAAACTGCGGCATGTGTACGGCTCCTTATGGGTACTGCAATTTTTGGAAGTACCGGAGCCGCGTTCTGGTGCTCTCCGTCAGCACTACACCCCTGTCAGACCAGAGCCCTAGAGAGATAATCTCTCTAGGGCTCTGTGTCAGACGAGACATATACCACGTGATGACACGTTAGGCTCGTGTTGTATTCAAGGACCCTGACCTTGGCCAGGAAAAACAGGCACTCGCTTGTTTAATTTTTTTGCGGTCTAGATTTCTTTAATTTTTTTCTTTTTTGCGTGTGTACATAAATTACCTCGAGGGCCGTACCAAATTGTCTCGCGGGCCGCATACGGCCCGGGGGCCGCAGGTTCCCCACCCCTGGTTTACAGAAAAACCTTCATAACACACAAGGGGACGGGTAATAACCGGAAAAGCATGACATGGGACCTTTAAATGCAATGAGGCCCAGTGTGAGTATAATATGAAAATGTGAACAATTTTCAAGTTTATTGAAATGGTAAAACACAGTGTAATATTTTCTTTTTAAAGACAGAAACTTAAGAAATTATTAAGGTGAAGCTTTATCTATGTGAAGATGATAAAGGACTGTTTATTTACCGGATCATCCCCTCAAACAGGTTGTGAGTGATGAGGTGAGACTGAGTCACCACGATCAGCAGAGTCACATGAGTCCAACCAAACTGTGAAGACAAAACATCATTAGGAAAATATGTATACAATCAAGGCCATACCTATATAAAACATGTCTGTGAAGTTTTTTTTTCAAAATACCAAACAGATCGTGCATTTTAGCCATGCCTCATTTCGCTCTTTTCCAGCCCTGTTTTTGCAAGGGCTGATTCTGCTTTTGTGGCAGACTACAGCACCACTTACAGGCCTGGCATATGTACTACAGCGTCTCCAGCGCTTTCGAGCGGTATCTCATTCCCCTGATAGGTGGAGAGTTGCCCATATAGGCGGAGCACCCCTTTTCTGACGTCAGAAAAATTCAAATAATAATCAGCTCCGTTGCAGCCCCGTTTCTAGAGATTTGGGTATGGAGGAAAAGAGAGAGGGTTGTGTCTTCTGACCAGGGACACATATTCATTAAAAGACGTACAAAAGTGCATTTTGCATGATAGGTCCCCTTTAAAATAAATAAAGTTGGGTTTTTTGCGTTCTAATATTGCAATGCAAACCCATGATGTGATGACAGTAATTAAGAATAATTTAGTCATTGAATGCTCATTTCAGTAGATTTAATCACACAAAACATAAACATATTGGACATGGCCTCAAGACTGTGACCTCTTCACATTCTGTTGAAATAGTCAATTACTAGCCATATGTTACGACCCGCCTCCCTACTCAATAGTAGTGGCTCGTGAGGCAGTCCGCAACATAAAACAAAACAATCACAACAATCAACCTTAGTTGACAGACGTGCTCACCACCACTCATTCCACACACCAGACAGGTTAACAACACACAATAACTGCTATATTATAAGCGCGACAATGCATCAGCCAACACATTATCCTTGCCACGAATGTGTTTGACCTCAACATTGAAGGCTTGCATGAAAATACTCCACCGCATCAACCTTTGATTTGTGTTACGCATTCTCTGCAGAAACACAAGGGGGTTGTGATCGGTGAAAATAGTGACAGGAATGTTTGATGACCCCACATATACCTCAAAATGGTTCAAAGCCAGAACCATAGCCAGTGCCTCCTTTTCGACTGTGGAACCAATGGTGGAACACACCCGCTGGTGGGGATTGAATTTCCCGGAGCGGTACGACACAGGGCGCTCCACCTCACGATCAGCTCCCATACATCTGCACGCTGCGCATCAGGCAAGTGTGCCAAATGAGACTCCATATTGGCCAGAGTCTCCGCAGCGATCGGGGCCTCCGAGGTGACAGGGGTTTTACACACGGCATCTATTGCACGTCTGTCCATCCTGGGAGAGGGATCCCTCCTCTGTTGCTCTCCCATTTTTCCCTTTAAACTGTGGGTTTTCTTCGGAAGTTTTTCCTTGTACGATGTGAGGGTCTAAGGACAGAGGGTGTCGTATTGTCATACTGATATTTTGTACAAACTGTAAAGTCCACTGAGACAAATGTAACATTTGTGATATATAAATAAACATTGATTGATTGATTGATTGACAGGGGTGTCACTTTTAGCACTGGACAGCGCCTCCACACAGGCAGCGACAGGGTTATGAACAGCCCCAGGGCTTATCGTACCTGATTTCCCACCCTCACGCCATGATGGAGGATCCCTGACCGGTCTGTCCAATCCCGTAGCCGTAAAACTGTCGCGGGTGACTGCCACCGCATTCACTCCCGGCTTAACGAGCACTCTGCCACCAGCTAAATCATTCCCCAAGACCAAATCTACCCCTTCAATGGGAAGACATGGCCGAACCCCGACAGTTACCGGACCTGTGACCAGATCTGACTCAAGATGAATATTATGCAATGGCGAACCCACACACTGCATACCAAACCCCCTCACAAGAACACCTGAACCCACAGCAGACTCCTCAGAGAGAGGCAACACACCCCTTATCATAAAGGATTGCGAAGCTGCTGTATCCCTCAAAATGGTCACTGGAACCCTGTTGTTCTTCCCCGGTAAAGACACCATTCCCTCCATGAGAAACGGAGCAAAAACTTCCAGTTCAGATTTGAGAGACCCTGGCTTTGAAGTACTCACCAAAGCGACCGTCTTTACAGGCTTCTCCTCATCCCGCAAAGCATAACAATTTGCAACAATATGACCTCTTTTCTTGCAGTAATGACACACTGGCCTATCCGTAGATCCCCAATTCACCTCTCCCGGTTTTTCCTCAGCAACTCTTGGCCTGCTGGACTGCCATGGCACTTTAGTGAACACTGGGGTTTCTCTGATATTATTGTCCACAAACCCGGCCTGTGCCCTAGTCCTCTCACTGTAGACAGTCTTGTGAGTAAGCACATATTCATCAGCCAAAACCGCAGCATCAAACAGTTTCACCGGTTTTTGCTCATTGAGGTATGTGGCTACTGTGTAAGGCAAACAGTTTTTAAATTCTTCCATGAGCACTAATGTTTTTAGGTCCTCTAGAGATTTTGTCCCCGTCGATGAGCACCATCGCTCAAACAGAACCTCTTTCTCACGGGCGAATTCCACATACGCTTGACAATCTTGTCTTTTCAAACCACGAAACTTTTGACGGTATGCCTCAAGCACCAGCTCATAAGCGCGCAGAATTGCAGCTTTCACCTGTTCATAATCCCGGCTAACCTCCTCAGATAACGCAGTATACACCTCCTGCGCTTTACCCGCGAGAACGCACTGCAGCATAACGGTCCACATGTTCCAAGGCAATTTAAACGTTGTTGCTACATGCTCAAACAGGACAAAATAGCTATCAACGTCTTTTTCGTTAAATACTGGGATAAACCGAGTATACTTGCCTACGTCAAAATCATGAGGTTGCGCAGACCCCAACTGCTGAGTCTGGTAAGACATCAGCTCCAGCTCCCTCAAACGTAACTCCGCCTCATATTTCCTCAATTCGAGATTACAGGCGATCTCCTTCTCTCTCAGTCTGTTATCACTCTCCTTCTCTCTAACCATCAGCTTGCGCAGCTCTAGCTGAAGTTGAAGGTCGCTCACTTTCTGAGAGACCTCTGTCTCGTCGTCTATGGGAACGTCTACTTCCTCCTCCGACAATACCTCCTGATCTATAAGCGCAGCCAACAGCTGTTCCTTAATGACTTGTTTTGCTTATTGACTACCACGTCAAATTTGCCTGCGATCAGACCAAGCTGCTGTTTGCTACATGCATCCAACTTCCCCCGAGTCGGATCACCAACAAACCCCTCCAAGTCAAAATCCATCACTGCAACTCTACGCTATACAGCCAACCAAACAAATAAATGCTGTCAAGGGCCTTTTACAAAGTAATACTACTCACCACACCTGCCCGAGACAGCCTTTGGACGAGCCCCCATATGTTACGACCCGCCTCCCTACTCAATAGTAGTGGCTCGTGAGGCAGTCCGCAACATAAAACAAAAGTACACAACACGTAGGCACTAAACTGTAATCGTACATTTATTGCCACAATACTTAATCATTCCACTGGAGGACAGGTAAAACAAACAAACAGACGGAGGGGACTTGGGCCAACCACACCACGGACCGTGGATCCAGAGCCTTCCTCCGCTACCCAAAATCCAACAGAACTTAACGGGAGAAATAAAGCTGCGAAAACCTAATCCTAACACGTCCTCCAGGAAACACAACAAAAAGGCAAAAGAGCTCTGACACAGCAGAGACATCCGGAGTAGTGATCCGCTCCTCCTTCTCCTTCAGCCGATTGGCAACTGGGAACACCTGGGCCAAGCTCGGCTGAGTGACAACTGGGAACACCTGGGGAAGGCGGAGCCAGGTGTACCTGCACAGCAGAGAACAAAGAGGACAACATTGCTGTTTTGAATCATTATTATGTGGATGACAGTTGAACTGGATAATTTAATGTATGTATGCCATCTGCTGGAAAGAAGACATATCACTCTGTTGGTGTCGTTTGGACAACAAAAAACAGAGTGAAACTCTCATTGCATAAACAATGTTTGAGTACAGACACCGTCCTGCAGAGAGCACATGACCCAACAGCATGTTTTTGGTCTCTAACATCACAAAACGTTTGCATTAAGACACTAGGATTAGCTGGTCCATTGTAAAGGTCAGTCCACCTTAAATGAGCAGTGGGTGAACAGCAGGTGAAAGGCAGGACATGGGAACTTGCTCCTGAGGAGATGAAACGATTATTAAACAAGAAATAGTTGAGTCAACGGGTCAAAGAAATGAACATTTGTGATTATTAGTGAATCGGTTGCAGGTGGGTGAAATCAGGCTTAGGGAGTAACGTATTAAAGTAACGGCATTGGGTAATCAGGATATAAAATAGGCAAATGTATTCCCTTACAGTTACAGAAGCAAAAACAATCAGAGAACAGGTACATTTATGTAAAACCGGACTCATTAACAAGATAGCAATGATACAAAACATTTAGAAATAAAGAACAAAACATCAAATCATCCTATATCTCTATATGGAAACTTGGAGCCCTCAATCCAAAATAAAATGGTTCATCAATAGTCAGTGGTTAACGTATAAATCAGAAAATCAGTATGACAAAAACATTAAACATATTCTCCACTTATGTTGATAAAGATGGAGTTCATTTAAGTCTTATATGAATGTTGTGCAACAATGTTAATCCAGTCAGACAGAATTTTCTCATATGTGAACTGTCATAAGACGTATTCATTGTCCTCCATCAGCTTCTGTTTCCATGTGTGCAGCTGAGCTGCTGGTTGGAGGCTCGGCCTCTCTGTTATCCTCAGTTTGAATTTCATTAAGCTGTGAGGACTGACGACCAACACACTTGTGTCTTTTGAAATCACTATGACATTGAAATATTTTGTCACAAACATTGCAGCTGTATATTCCCTCTCCTGTGTGGACTCTCATGTGTTTTCTTAAACCTCCACTCTGTGAAAAAGCTTTCTTACAGACTGAGCGGCTGTGTGGTTTCACTCCTGTGTGGATTCTCATGTGTTCCTTTAAATTTTTATTCTGTGAAAAAGCTTTCTTACAAACTGAGCAGCTGTGTGGTTTCTCTCCTGTGTGGACTCTCATGTGTATCTTTAAATTTCTATTCTGTGAAAAAGCTTTCTGACAGACTGCGCAGCTGTGTGGTTTCTCTCCTGTGTGGATTCTCATGTGTTCCTTTAAATTTCTATTCATTGAAAAAGCTTTCTTACAGACTGAGCAGCTGTGTGGTTTCTCTCCGGTGTGGACTCTCATGTGTGTCTTTACATTTTTATTCTGTGAAAAAGCTTTCTTACAGACTGAGCAGCTGTGTGGTTTCTCTCCTGTGTGGATTCTCATGTGTTCCTTTAAATGTTCTCTCTGTGAAAAAGGTTTCTTACAGACTGAGCATCTGTATGGTTTCTCTCCTGTGTGGACTCTCATGTGTCGCTGAACATTGCTTCTATATGTAAAAGATTTTGTACACACAGAGCAGCCAAATTGTTTCTTTACAGCACTACGGCTTGAATCACTGACAGATTCTTGTCTATTTTTCAGTGACGCAGGTTCTCTGGTCTCCTTCCAATCTGCACTGTCTTCAGTGTCAGGTTCAGATGAGTCTCCAGAGTCAGGTTCAGAAGAGTCTCCAGTGTTGTCCTCAGTGTTTGGTTGTAAACTGCTTTCTGGAACTGAGTTCCTGCCAGGTTCTGGTCCTCGACAGTCATCTCCAACAGCTTCTGTTTCCATGTGTTCAGTTTGTCTTTGATGAGGCTGTGAGGACTGAGGTTTCTCTTTATCATCTTCACTCTTCACAGGGTCAGGAGTGAAAGTAGACTTGATGATATTAGCCTCCTCCAGCTCCTGAAGCTGCTCTCCCTCCTGACTGATCCTGAGTTCCTGCTGTTCTTGCTTAATGTATGGGGGGGACTCTGGGTCCTCCTGGTCCAGACTGGAGCTCCACTCCTGCTGGTCAGAGAGAAGCTCTTCTTTAACCACCACCAGCAGCTGTACGACTGCAGGAAACACACAGTCAGAAAAAACTGTTAAGTGTTAGCATTTAAAATCTATTCATCATTCAAATGGGAGACATTTTGTAGCCCTAATTCATGCATTGTATTTGGGATCGTTCACAGCTACACTACGCCTATAGAATGGTAATACTCTATTACAAATAAAGATCCTGCATTTAAACATTATTTAAAGTGGACCTATTATGCTATATTTGAAAAATATATTGTAGGGCCATACCTAACCATTGTAGCCATGCCTCATACTACTCATAGCTAGAGATGGGTATCGTTAAGGTTTTAACGGTACTACTACTTTTATTGATACCGCTTATCGGTCCGGTCTTTTAACGGTACTCTTATCGGTTCTTTTGGAGAAAAAAATAAGGTAAACTAACAAATTGTGAAGAAAACTAACTAGCTTTTTATTTAAATGAAATACATAATATTTCACATCAAAAGAAACAACAATGTTTTAACAAATCGTGTTAAATAATCTGATGACAGAATTGTAAACAAAACTCAGTTACCTCTAATCATTAACCCATGTTTGTATAATGTAGTTAACTCCGTGTGTTGCTGCTAGCATACATAACACCTGACGTGGAAACGTTATTCGTGGACGGGGGGGCTACAGCGCTACTAGAAAGACAGTCGAACCTGGTGCATTTCTCCATCTGAATGCTAAATGTTTAGACAAATTGCTTGTGCGCCCTTACATGCTAAACTCTTATAGCACTTTTGGTAACGAGGATTGTCCACATCGAGACGGGTAAAGTTTAACCACACCTCGGAGCGCGTTCTCTCCACCATCTCCTCCGTGTGTGTATGGTATGTTGCTGCATGTAGCAGCTGTGTGTGTGTAAACTGCCCCGCCCCCTCGCAAGCAGGCGGGGGAGAGAGATCTCTCGCCTGGATTGGAAAGATCGAAAATACTAAAGACACGCATTTTGCACGCTTTTTGCATATTAGAAACGGAGTTGGCAACACTAAAACTGCAATATAATGTTTGTGTAGTAATAATACATATATTTTTTACATGTCTCCAGTACCAATAAAAAGACCGTTAACGTCGGAGTTTAACGGTACCACGGTCTTTAATAGTTCAGCCCTGGGGCCCGTTTAATACCGGGGCTCGGTACACATCCCTACTCATACCCCTCTATTCCAGCCCTGTTCCAAAAAGGCTGATTCTGCTTTAAAAATTGTAAATTGAACAGCTGCTGCTAGCCACGCCCCTTTGTAGCGTCATGCAGCTTTCCCCTGCTAAGAGAGTTTTATACTGGGAGAAACTCAGCTAAACACTGCTGTGATTAAATGCCATATTATGCTCCAAACTACTTCAAGCATTATTTCTGAAACAGTATGAAGCTCAAACGTTTCTCTCTCGCAGGGTTTACCGCAAGGACATTATGTTACACATATTCTCTCCAGTACAGCGTTAGCTTTGAGTGTTAGCGATGCTTGCTAATGTAAACACAGAGCATATTACTCCCAAAACAAGCAGCGCATTGTTTCTGATACAGCACATAGCTTGACATGTTCTTTCTTAAGTGTTTACCACTAGAACAGTGCCAACAACTTTACTCTAAGTACCTCCTGCAGACATCCTGCTGAATACACAGACACACAGCTGCGAGAGGGGATTCAGCTAGACGACTGTATACAGAGACGATAGGTTGGGACCAGGGTTTCCGTTCGCCGGTAATTAACTGTTTTTAGCTGGTCAAATTTATTTTTAAAAAAATGGTAATTTCAAAACCTGCCGGTCAAAATGTGCGGTAATAATTAGGGATGCTCCGATTGATTGGCCGCCGATCATTAACGGCCAATATTCACTCTTAATAGTTTGATTGGTGCTCTCTATAAAGGCCGATCAGGAGAGCTGGATCTGATCGATATGGACATAAACGCGAGTGAAGTATAACCGGACAAGAGAGAGGGATCAGAGATCCGATCAGCTGCTGAGTTTGGTGGAGACACACAGCTCAACATGATCACCTGAAGCCCCGCCTGCTGTTTAGCGAGATGCATGAGTCTGATATTGACGGGCTGTCATGAGAGAGAGGGAGGGAGAGGGGAAAAGAGAGGCTCCGTTTCTCCTGTGTTATTCAAAGTTAATGTAAAGTTTGGAATAATGTACTTCATCTACTAAAAGTAGTTTGTTTGAATGTAATAATTATGTTGTTTGTTGTTTGGGAAAGCGAATAATTTAAAAAAAAATGAATCTGAACTTTTCGATCTCTTAAGATTATAAACTGAAGCAATATAAAAATGAGCCTCATTAACTGAGTTTTAAACATCAGCATATCCGGTCATAGTCCGGTAATTGCCTGCTAACGGAAACTCTGCTAAACAATTCTTCTTCTTCTTCTTCATATTATAATTATTATTGAAACATGACGCTCTTCTTTTTCTGACTCACCTATACTCACCGCTGGGTCACCAGACCCTCCTTCCACCAACACACTAACCTCCTTTTCCCCTCTCTCTCCAAGTGAGGTTCTTACCCTCATTACTTCTGCCCGCCCTACCACCTGTCCTCTGGACCCTATCCCTTCAAACCTCCTTCAGACTATCGCTCCTGATATTCTACCGTTTCTCACCCATTTCATCAACACTTCTCTAACTTCTGGTCACTTTCCAAACAGTCTCAAGGAGGCAAGAGTAAACCCTCTCCTAAAGAAACCCACTCTCAACCCGTCTGATGTTATAAACTACAGGCCTGTCTCTCTCCTCCCGTTCCTGTCTAAATAACTTGAACGCGCTGTCTTTAAACTACTCTCCTGTTATCTCAATCAGAACAACCTTCTGGATCCGCACCAGTCTGGTTTCAAGGCAGGTCACTCCACAGAAACTGCTCTCATTGCTGTCACGGAGGAACTGCACACTGCCAAAACTGCATCCCTCTCCTCTGTCATCATCCTGTTGGACCTGTCTGCTGCATTCGACACGGTGAATCATCAGATCCTCCTTCGCACTCTCCAAAAACATGGAGTTTCAGGCTCTGCTCTTTCCCTCCTCACCTCATACCTGAAAGACCGTACCTACAGGGTGACTTGGAGAGGGTCTGAGTCCGACCCTTGTCAATTAACTACAGGGGTCCCTCAGGGCTCTGTTCTTGGTCCCCTCCTCTTCTCCCTGTACACAAACTCGCTCGGATCAGTCATTAGCCCGCATGGTTTTTCTTACCACTGCTACGCTGATGACACCCAATTAATTCTGTCCTTTCCCCGCTCAGAGACCCAGGTCGTTGCACGCATCTCTGCTTGTCTAGCTGACATCTCTCAGTGGATGTCTGCTCACCACCTCAAGCTCAACCTTGACAAGACTGAGCTGCTCTACCTCCCGGGAAAAGATTGTCCCACTCTTGACCTAACAATCAACATCGGCACCTCAGTTGTTTCCCCGACTCAGACTGCAAGGAATCTGGGTGTGACCCTAGATAACAACCTGTCCTTCACTGCAAACATCGCTGCTACAACCCGTTGCTGCAGATACACGCTTTACAACATCAGGAAGATACGTCCCCAGCTGACACAGAAAGCGACTCAGGTTCTGGTCCAGGCTCTCGTCATCTCACGCCTAAACTACTGCAACTCCCTCCTGGCTGGTCTACCTGCATGTGCCATCCGACCTCTGCAGCTCATCCAGAATGCAGCGGCTCGTCTGGTCTTCAACCTTCCTAAATTCTCCCAAACCACGCCGCTCCTCCGCTCCCTTCACTGGCTTCCGGTAACTGCTAGAATCCACTTCAAGACACTGGTACTTGCTTACCATGCTGCGAATGGATCTGGCCCTTCGTACATCCAGGACATGGTTAAACCGTACACCCCAGCGCGTGCACTACGCTCTGCATCAGCCAAACGACTCGCTGCGCCCTCGCTGCGAGGGGGACCCAAGTTCCCATCGGCAAAAACACGTGGGTTTGCTGTCCTGGCTCCAAGATGGTGGAATGAGCTCCTCATTGACATCAGGACGGCAGATAGCTTGCACATCTTCCGGCGCAAACTGAAAACTCATCTCTTTCGACTCCACTTCGAGCGTTAGAACTATTAACGAAGCACTTATATACTAATAAAGGACTGGCTTATCTAAAGCCAGTTGAGTAGCACTTGAAATGTTTGGCTCTATGAAACCTGATGTACTTATATGATTCTGTTTTCTTCAAGGTTGTGTCTCCCTGGTCGAATGTACTTATTGTAAGTCGCTTTGGACAAAAGCGTCAGCTAAATGCAATGTAATGTAATGTTACAGATCTAACTTTGAAGACACTCGACAGACCTATTTTGCTGCTGCTTCGTTTGCTTCAAAACACTCTCGCTCGCTCTACCATGCACACACACACGCGCGCCGCCACCCCACCCTCTCTCTCTTAAAGGAATGGTATGCTCATGACACTCATTTTTAAATAATTATCATCCGATAAAACAGACCAGTCTCTGCCAGTCTCTCTTTTTTTTTTTTTTAATCCGATGACATTATCAGTGATTTTAAACTGATTAATTACCGAAATAACATCAACACTGTGGGCGGCGCCATTTTACCGGACGTGACGTAAACCATGCGTTTGGTTTCGAGGACACGTTGATGTTCATGTTATTTACTGTAGTTACTCTCTTCAAATATGCCTCATTGTATCGCGAAACATTGCCACAATTCTGATAGGAACAATCCACGGAATGCTCGGTTCTATCTGTTGCCAAAAGGTAAGCGTAGGAAGTACGTTCGGAGGCAGTGGCTAGCGAAATGTGGCCGGCCCGAACCGAAAGATCCACAGGCGCATGTATGCAGCGAACATTTCAAGTTTCCGGACGACTACTATGAGTATGATAAAACATAACATGGGATTTATTGAACAACCATTACTTAATGGAGATGCAGTACCATCGGTCTTTCTGGTGTCATCACCGACCAGGACACCAGTTCGGCCAGTTGAGAAATCGCCCTCTGCAAGTGTGAAGCGACGGAGGACCAGAAGTAGTGCTCGGAGTAAGAATAAGGTATGTTATGGCGCATTTCCATTGCAGCGGGTAGCCCCATTTAAACGTCCTTTATCGTCCAGGCCAGGCCAGTTTTTGGTGGCCTTTCCATATAGCGTAGTACCGGCTAGTGGGTATTTCCCCCCAGTTTTTCCGACCCCATAAAATCGTGGTTCTAGGGCCAGGGACAACGAGGCTGAGTATGCTAAACTAGAGAGGGAATCGCTAGCAAGGGTGGTACTACATGCATACATATCTAGTAATCAAAATCATTGTATCTACTAAGTAGGCTCGAACCTGTATGGCTGAATTCCCCCTTCCAATCTCTTCATATTGCTCAAAACTTCGCCATGTTTTCGTGTGTTTACAAAGTGAACGCATGGATGACGTCACGACCATCACGTGACTACTGAAAATGGGCAAAATGGCAACGGCCTGACGGAATATACAGGTTTTGATAAAAAAGAGCTATAAAATCATTATTTACCGGGGAATATCGCTGATTTCTTCAGGGTATGGTTTAAACATAATGTTTCACTAAATACTGAAGTTTTGATTAATTATCTAATGAGTGGAGCATTCCTTTAAAGGGATAGCGATCTGACTCGACATGACCCTAATATCATAACTCGTCATTTTACCTTGAATGCTATTGCTTTAAATTTATTTAATTTATTGTTCTCATTGTTCAAATGTTTGTGTTATGACTGAAAAACATTTCTAGGTTTGAAATAAAACACAATAATGACATTTAAGACGGTTTCCCCTTTTTTAAGAAAAGTATCGAAAAAGTATGGAAATCGTAATTATTGACTTGGTATCGAAACAAAAATGTTGGTATCGTGACAACACTAGTGGGGACAGAAACATGGAGAAAGGTACCAAACTCTTACATGGATATTTGTAATTAGTCCAGGCGGCAGAGTTGATAGAACCAGAGTTATGTGTAACCACCATAAAGTTGAATTTCCTTATCACTGGACTCGGAGGCTAACTTGTTTTCTATAACAAACTAGATCAAACGTGAATGCCCTGGCAGTGGCAAATAGCTTTGGTTTTATATTTTATTACATTAATGTTTTTTTGAGATTTACAATAAATATTTGAAATGCTACTCTGTAAAGGGAATAGGCCTACTATTGTTCAAAAATAACCTTATTTGTTTAAAATAAAAGTGCGCAATACACTACTTTTGAATTCATTATTGAATGTTGTGCATAACAATGCAATTAATCACAGAAAGGTATTTGATTAATCATGATTAAAATGTTTAATCATTGCCCAGCACTAATAAATAGTCTTAAGTGTTACCAAAGATTAAAGTGTTAATTAAGAGTAAAGGGAACAGACCTGCTCTGTGTATCCGAAGCTGAGGCTGTAAAACAGCGTCCAGTAGTTTCTGGAGTCTCTCGTTCTCCTCTTTGGAAAGAGACAGCTCCTCCTCGAGCTCTGCTATCGTTTTTTCAAACGGAGCAAATATCTCTTCAGCAGCAGCAGTGAGTCGCTTCTTCTTCAACGACAGCAGCATTTGGACTCTACTCATGTTTACTAGATCACCTTTTCCTGCAAACTCCGTTAAACACACCGTTTATCTCTCCATCAAACTCTCAATCTGACTAGTGTTGCTAACGTGTTTCCAGCTAGCATGCTAAGCTAGCTCCTCTAGTCCGAGGTAAACGCTCCAGAAAAAAGAGCAGAGAGTCCATTCGGAGGTTTATCCAGACACACAGATGATGGATCAGTACTGCTGGAGCTCACACACACTTTATCAGGAACACACAGAGAGAGATAACCGTAGAGACGAGACGCCACATGGATCAAGGTTACAAGGAGCTTCTTCTTTTTCTTCTCTCGGTTTTTGGCGGATTGCAAACAACTTTAAAGGTGCATACCGCCACCTACTGTACATGAGTGTGAATCATCATATCATTCCATCTCTTAACTTCTTCTTCTTCTTTAGTGTTTATTGGCGGTTGGCAAACCAACTTGTAGGTGCATTACCGCCACCAACTGGACTGGAGTGTGGACAAGAGACTATGCAGAAAACAATAAACAAAACAAAGAACCAAAACTCTAGATTATTTTAAATTTATCAATTTCTCTTAGAAACGTAATAATCTCACAATATATATTGCCTGATTTTTTTCCCTAACAGCCCTGATAGCGACAAGTCATGGAATTTTGCTTTCTTCAGTGTCTGGAAAAGCACATTTCTCTGAGTACTATATTTCCTGCAAAGCAGTAAAACATGCTCAACAGTTTCTGGCTGGCTACAGTGTATACACTTTCCGGTTGGATGCTTTCCTATTATACTTAATGTATGATTGCGACCTGTATGACCTATTCTCATCCGAGAAATGACATTTTCCTCCCTTCTTTTAAACCCCACCTTCCTTCCATCCCCCACATACCTTTGAATGTTATAAAGATGTCTTCCTGTATCACTAAGGTCCAAATGATCTTGCCATGTTGTTTGTGCATATTTCTGAATGAATGTTTGAACCTCCGCTTTGCTGAGTGGAACTTCTATGTCTATGTTCATACTTCTGAGTGTTTGTTTGGCCAGAATATCCACCTGTTAATTTCCCTCCACACCAACATCAGCAGGAACCCAGATGAAACGAGTTGCTATGCCTTTGATTGGCATTTTATATACAATTAGAAATATTTCATTTATTATGTCCGTTCTAGATGAAGATCTGCCTGATCGTATACTTGATAATGCTGAAAAGCTGTCAGATGCAATTACACTGTTATGTATTTCTTTCTCTTCTATCCATTTCAATGACAGTACCAATGCCAACAACTCTGTGGTGTATACTGACACATGGTCTGTTACCCTTTTCTTTATATGTGTATTACTCACTGGGATATACACTGCTGCCCCTGCACGCCCTGTCTCTGGATCTTTGGAACCATCTGTAAATATGATTGTTGAGTCTGAGTGATATCTTGCAAAAATATTTCTGGACTATGCGCCATACTGGTAGTTCTTTCTTTTCCTTTAACTCCTCTCGTATATTGAGGTCTACACTTGGCAATGGGAACAACCAGGGTGGAATGGATGAGATTGGAACTGTGGGGCAATACTGTATTTGATTCAAACCTATACTTGCTGCTTTAACATCGCCAATCCATCCAAAACTTGTTAAATGTGACTCGTTGTGCTCCCAGCAATCTTTCAAGATACTTTTCGCAGGATGACTATCACTATGCCCCTGAAGGTTTACCCAGTATGTCAACATTAACTTCACTCTTCTTATCCTTAAAGGCATTTCTCCCATTTCCACCTGCATTGCTGATACTGGAGATGTTTTAAAAGCTCCACTACATATTCTCAGGGCCTGAGCTTGTAGGACATCCAGGTTTTTAAGGTTTGATTCTGCTGCTGCCATGAACGCTATACACCCATAATCGAATACAGGTCTCATGAGTGCCCAATATATATTCAGAAGTGATGACCTACTCGCTCCCTACTCCTGTCCCGCCAAACACCGAAGTACATTGTTGACCTTTTTACATTTATTTTGAACTTTTCCTATATGATTGCTCCATGTTAACTTTACGTCAAACCAAACACCAAAAAATCTTATTGTATTAACCTGTTCAAGAGGTTGCTCATACAATTTTAACGATATAGGAGCAATGTTATGCTGTTTTGTAAAACAAATGACCTGCGTCTTACAGTAGCTACTGACAGTTTGAATCCCCATTTATTTGTCCATTTCTCCACTTCAACTATTGCAGCTTGTATTTTCTTTCCAACATGTGCTACATTGTGGCCTTTTGCCCACAAAGCCCCATCATCTGCATACAAAGATGTTCCCATACTTGGATGAACTTGATTAAAGATGTCATGTATCATTATATTGAACAGCAACGGACTACATACACTACCTTGCGGAGTACCATTTTCCACAGCATAAACACTTGAATATTCTGCACCTACTCTTACTTGTATTTTTCTGTCCAGTGAAAAATTCATAACCCAATTATATGCTTTACCACCAATTCCCAATGACTTTAACTTGATTAGTAGTCCTTCTTCCAGAGCATGTCATAAGCCTTTTCAATATCAAAGAAGACTGCAATCACTACTTCCTTATTGGTCTGTGCTTTCCTGATGTCTGATTCTAAGCACAATATAGAATCCATTGTATTCCGACCCCTCTGGAAGCCACTTTGATATGGGGACAACAGATCTTTACTTTCTAAGATATATGTTAACCTTTCTGTAACCATTCTCTCCATGATTTTGCATAAATGAGATGTCAGGGCTATAGGCCTGTAGCTAGATGGATCTGAAGGGTCTTTCCCTGGCTTTAGGATGGGCACTATTATCGCTTGTTTCCACACTGAAGGAAGTTGGCCAGAATCCCACACCCTATTAAACAACCTTAACACAAAGACTAGAGAGTTATCTGTCATGTGTTCCAGCATTTTATAACAAACACCATCTTTCCCAGGAGTGGTTTGACGAGCACTAATAATTGCTCTTCTCAACTCAAACATACTAAAATGCAGGTCCAACTGATCCCCTAACACTTCTACTGTAAGGTTTCAGCGTTAGAGTCTGTGAGCTTGATTGTGATCTTCTGTTCTGGATTGTTTGCACCTGTGCCTCATTAACTGTTGTGTATATGTAGCCCTGTTCTCCTGTTGTCTTTTGTCGGTTCGTCTTGTCTTGTCGTTATCTCCATGCCTGTTTACCAGAGAACCATGTTACAAAACCTAGTAGAACCTAGTGATTCGATGTAGAATCCTAGTAGAGCCTAGTAGTCATTATTGGATAGCTTGGTTTCTTTACAATAAAGAACATTACCAAGCAAACGGAATCGAGCATCTGAGTCTTTGTGAGTCCTTCGTGTCAGAACGAACCGACCAAACAAGATGGACTCAGCCGATTCCACCGTGTTAAAGACGGCTTTGCAGGCGCAAGTAACACGCCTGTATCAACATGAGGAACAGCTGACAACAATGAATCAGGGGGTTCAGGACTTAAATGCCCATCAGCACCACTTCCAGTCAACAGTGACAACGGAAATAAATCACCTGGCGGAGAAAATGCGTGACATACTTACGCACCTCGAGGCACGTCCTGCGGTTCCTGCGGCAGAGTTTTCTGGTCCAGCGGAGGACGGGTTTGCTGAGATCCCCGTTCAAATACCCATGCCATCGTCTTCACTCCGCCTTGCTTCACCGGAGAAGTTCTCCGGGGATTCTGGAAACTGTCGTCCATTCCTGATACAGTGCGATCTCCATTTCAAACATCAGCCCGCAGCATTTCCCACAGATCAAGCTAAGGTAGCTTTCATAGTATCTCACTTGACGGAAAGAGCGGGAGCCTGGGCAACAGCAGAATGGGCCCGAGACTCGCCTGTTTTCCAGTCGTTAAGGTTATTCATTGATTCTATGAAAAACATTTTTGACCAGAGAGCACCCGGGAGAGAGTCAGCGAGAGCCCTGGTGAACATCAAACAACGGCAGAGGAGAGTGGCGGATTACGCGATCGAATTCCGGACCCTGGCAGCGGAGAGTGGATGGAACTCAGCGGCTCTTTTTGATACGTTTCTGCATGGATTAGCGGATCCCATAAAGGATCAGTTAGCTCCATTAGAGTTGCCTGTAGAATTGGACTCACTCATCGCCATGGCTATCCGGGTGGACCAACGTCTAGCAGAGAGACGTCGGGAGAGAGGGGAGAACGCAGCTTCCACTCCACTGTTCGGACGGGAGTTACAGAGGGAACACTACGGTTGGCGGAGTAATACCCGGACTTCATCTCCAGAGCGACCAGCGCCCCCTAGCGCCGCGGAGGAACAGATGCAGCTCGGAAGAGCCAAACTCACTCCGGAGGAGCGTCAGCGCCGCCTACGGGAGCGGCGGTGTTTCTACTGCGGCCAGCAGAGTCATGTTCTGGCAGCCTGTCCGGCAAAAGATCAGGCTCATCAGCGGGAAGAGAGACGCTGGTGAGCCGAGTGACTTCTTTCGACCCTTCCTCGAGAAAACTGACTCAGATACAATTGAAACTGAATGATAAGACTGTGACTCAGGATGCATTAATTGATTCTGGGGCTGATGAGAGCTTGTTAGACTGGGAGCTGGCTAAAGAGTTGAACTTAAACATTGTCCTTTTAGATCAGTCATTAGAGGCTAACGCATTGGATGGCCGCCTTTTATGTACAGTTACTCATCGCACAGAACCCATAGAAATTGTCATAGATCAGGAGCACCGTGAGCATATTAGCTTTCATTTATTTAACTCAGCTCAACAGCCTCTCATTTTGGGTTACCCTTGGCTTGTTAAACATAACCCTCACATGGACTGGCTTACAGGAAAGGTTAAGGGGTGGGGGAGTGAGTGCTCTCGTTCATGTTTAGCCTCTCATACAGTTTCGAGTGGACTGCACAGATCTG